CTGAGAGACCTGAGAGACCATTTTGAAGGCTCAGGAAACCTTTGCAGGTGTTTTGAGTTGATTAGCTGATACCATATTCTAATTTGTTGAGATAGTGAATTGGTGGGTTTTTGTTAAATGTGAGCCAAAATCATCACAATTAAATGGATCGTACTTCTTAATTAACTGCCGTTCCTCCTGCATTCTTGGCATGATCAAAAGATCTCTGCCGGCGGAACAGGAAGATATGTTCGATTAAAATGAGCCCTGAAAGTATATTAATAGCTAAGTCTGTTAGCACTCTCAAGGGAAATGCTGAGATCCAGCTCTTATGAATTCATCCAGACACCAGGAAGACTACAAAAGTAAGTCTCTGGCTTTTAGACTTCTTTTCCTCAGCCTTGCCTGCTACAGCCTGGAAGAATAAACTGGATTGACATGAAAGGTTCAGTAGGCTTTTTGCTTTAAATGAATGGTTATTGTCATGGTGTAAAGAACAGAAACTGCTCTTTATTAATAACCGGAATCTTTTCTGGGAGCGTCCTAGGCTTTTTCTCGCTGATGGCCTGCACCCCAGCAGAGTCGGAGCAGAACTCCTTTCGGACAACATCTCCAGGACCCTGCGCTCCATATGACTAGTAAGCCAATTCTCAGATAACTGCTTTTGTTCTACCCACTTACAGGTGCATCTCAGTGGGTGTGCATTTTACCTTCAGCTAACGTAGCATGGACGTGCCGGACGATGGAGTCTCCGACGATCACAGTGTTGCGTTCCGTCTCGCGGAGGGGAGTGAAAAATAATCAGTAGATTACTTGATTACCAAAATAATCATTAATTACAGCCCTAGATTAGTTAATATATTTCAAAATACAACACTTTTTGTAATTAAAAGACAAATATTTAGTCATTGAAAATTTCTTAAAAATAGTATTAAAATATTGTCTTGTTCTAGTGAACCAAGTATCTGTATTTTGTCTCATCTCGTGAGCTAAGTGTATTGTCACACCCCTAGTGTCGATAAGCAGTGATATAGCTCATAATTTTCCAAGTGTATGATACAGCTTTCATTCTTCAGGTCAACCATATATTCATGAAAAAAAATCAGTTTGAATAAGGAAAGCAATAGATTTGCCATAGTATCCTTTCAAATGTTAAAGTTGCCACAGTCATTGCATGCTTTGCATGTGCTAATTTTGCTATTTTGCAAGAAATGGAATGCTAAAAACATCAAATGTAAAATGTTTTACTCTGTGTAAATGTTTTACAGGTAGTTGTGTTCATGGAGAGCAGCACACAAATGTTTGGAGCAGACAGAGTGGCAGACAGATTGTCCTACACATGTTCTCCTGCTCTTGTTCAAGATTGTGTGGTTCAGGAGCGTCATGTCGTGCTCATGGAGAGCAGCACACAAATGTTTGGAACAGACACAGCAGCAGCCAGATTGTCCCGCACATGTTCTTCTGCTCTTGTTCAGGGTTGGGTGGTTCAGGGGCGTCATCATGGTATTCCTCATCCTCTCTGTGCACTCAGGCAACGATAGCATTGATGTCCCTTTCCCATCCATGATCAGATTCAGTCTGACTGCAGCAATGAGGGACATGATGGACGGCAGAGACAGGTGAAGGTGGACACGGTGGTCAGCTGCTTCATCAGAATAAAGCTGTAGAAGCTGTGTTGAGATGCAGTAGGATGTGGATTCACCGCCTGTAAATACATGATTGTTAGAATAAGACTGAATAAAGCTTTGTTTCATTTGTCATTGACTTGTATTTCTTTATTGTCATGGTTACTTTTATTTATTCTTTTACTCATTTATTCATGTTTCCTGTTGTTGTCAGTAAATAAAATATAATTGTTTCATTAACTTATGCATTAATTCATTACTTGACTGAAAATTGAGATGTATTCACCTTGGCTGCATTTGTCTAGTGTGTATTCATGCATAGCTATGGCATATGACAAAACAAATTACATTTTGCTTGTTTTACTAAAATTATATATGAAATTAATTAATTATTAGTCAGCATTTATCATTATTGTTGTAAGTGTTGGGGTGGGCTAGCAAAGCATTCTGGGGTAATCTTATTTTTAAAGTAAGTAATTCTTACATTTTTCAAGTGTAATATTAGCAGTCTTCTCCAAAGGCGAGATCTTCAAGCAGCTGCCTGATGTCTCCTTTGTGCAAACATTGCAAACGCTGCACTGGGGTAATATTATTATTTTTTAATTAGTAATTCTTACATTTTTCCAGTATAAAATCAACAGTCGTCTCCACAGACGAGATCTTCGAGCAGCTGATGGACGTTTCTTTTGTGCAGATATTGAGGAAAACTGTACTAGTTAGGGTTGTCATGTTACTGATGCTATGAGGTGTTAGTGCACCTCCCTTACCTTCTTTTTATTATTACTGCAGAACTTTTAATTACATACAAGCTCAGGGAAAGATGGTTGTATCTTTAACAATGAACAATCATAATATAAAACATAAATATAATGGGTTTGCGTACATAGTATGAGAATATATAAACAGAAAAAAGGCACAATTGTTGATATTGCTATTTATAAGCCTGAGGGATGAAACAAAGAGTTAAATTCAACAAGAAAAAGAGGAAAACAAAGAAAATTTAAGCTGGTTTTGCTTGTGGATGAAAGATTTTGAACATAAAAATAAAGAAATTAACAACACTTTTAATTACATACAAGCTCAGGGAAAGATGGTTGTATCTTTAACAATGAACAATCATAATATAAAACATAAATATAATGGGTTTGTTTACATCATAGTATGAGAATATATACACAGAAACAAAGGCACAATTGTTGTTGATGTTGCTATTTATAAGCCTGAGGGATGAAACAGAGTTAAATTCAACAAGAAAAAGAGGAAAACTAAGAAGATTTAAGATGGTTTTGCTTGTGGATGAAAGATTTTGAACATAACAAAGAAATTAACAACATATTGAAAAGACAACAATTTGGGGTTTTCATAATAAAATATAATATCTTTAAGGATAAAACTGTGGGTCATATTAGTAGGGTTAAAAATATAAAAACTTTATGTTTTTTGGTTGTACTACAATCACATAAAAGGGCAGCTGTTTCTTCAACAAGACCACAAAATGAGTAAATTTCATCAACATCAAAATATTTACCGATAGATGAATTAAACCTGTCGCTCCTATCTTTTAAGTTGTTGCGCTTGTAACGTCATAGGTCACATGATAACGTCAACGTGGCGGATGTTGCCTGGGTCGCATTCATACTTAACGATATTTGGCTGTAGAGTACCTACTCTTTTAGCGCTCGTTAAGTAAGTACTTACTGAAATTAAGTACCTACTCATTGAGTATGCCACTTCGGACGCAGCCGATATCAATCCGCTTCAGCTATGTCTGCATCGCTTTCACAACGAAGCACACAGCGTCTTCACGACATGGCGGCAGCGGCAACAACAAAACTACAGCGAGAATAAAAGTTACGCCTTCTTTCTTTGCGTGAACATTTGGGCGGTGTTATGCAAATCTTCACACATAGTGAGGTAGATATGTGGGGGCGTGTTCGAACGAGCCGTTTTAGGGGGGGTGTGGCTGACTCTTAACTTTTTATGAAGAATATCTCTTTGGATTTTAGACTTTAGTCTTTGCAACTTTCCAGATCTTCTTTATGCACCAAGAGCTTGTAACACTCCAAAGAGAAAGGAAAAAATGAAATTGCATCATATGACCCCTTTAACATAAAGATATACATGTTTACATGATGATGTATTTAGCTACCATATTGTTTTTAAAATTGAAGAGAAATGACTGTGGCTGTATTATATTGTCATCTCTGTAACTAACAGTTATTCAAAAATTATTTTCAGGACAGACTGAACATGACAATTCTCCCTTCCCTCAGAAACCTAGTTCCAGTGCTCATGTGAAGTCAAGTTTTTCCGTTTCCTTGAGAAAACCTACTGCTCTATTGGAAAACAGCATTTGGCAATCATCTGTAAAAAAAGCACATCCTAAGGAACCCAGTTTTTCCTTTGCTTCTGAGAAGTCCCGCTCCCTTTCTGTGAAGAAACCCAGTTTTTCTCTCCCATCTGAAAAGTCAAGCTCTAAACCTGATAAACCTAGTGCTCCTAAGCAATCAAGTTCTTCCTACCCTTCTGAGAAGTATGGCTCTAACCCTGAGAGACCCAAAGCTCCTACTGAACACCGATCTAAGCTAAAGACCCCAAGTTCTCCTCTCCCTGTGAAATCAAGTATTGTCTTCTCGAAGTTCAGTTCTAAACCGAAGAAACCTGGGGCTCTGATGGTACTCACTTTTTCACTTCCATCTAAAAAGTCAAGTTCTAAACCGGATAGAACTATTGCTCCTACGCAATTGAGTTCTTTCCACCCCTCTGAGAGGTCTAGCTCTAAACTTGAGAGACCAAATGTTCCTACTGAACACCGATCTAATCTCGAGACCCAAAGTTCGCCTCTCCCTGTGAAATCAAGGTTTCACGTCTCAAAGATCAGTTCTAAACCTAAGAAACCTGAGGTTCTGATGGGACCCATTTTTTTACTTCCATCGGAAAAATTCAGCTCTAAACCGGAGAAATCTAGTTCTCATATGCAACAACATTCTAAGCCAAAGACCCCAAGTTCTCTTCTCCCAGTGAAATCAAGTGTTTTCTTAAAGATCAGTTCTAAACCTCTAAAAACTAGTGCTCTTTTGAAACCTAGTTCTTCCCTTCCATCTGATAAGTCTAGCTCTCTCCCCACTGGGAAACACAGTTCTAAACCTGAACAACCTAGTGCTCCCAAGGACCCCAATTCCTCCCCCTAGTGCTCCCATGGAACCCAGTTTCTCCCTTCCCACTGAGAAACCCAGTTCTAAACCTGAACAACCTAGTGCTCCCATGAAACCCAGTTTCTCATTCCCCACTAGTGCTCCCATGGAACCCAGTTTCTCCCTGCCCACTGAGAAACCCAGTTCTAAACATGAACAACCTAGTGCTCCCATGGTACCCGGTTCCTCCCTCCCCACTGAACCCAGTTCTAAACATGAACAACCTAGTGCTCCAATGGACCCCAGTTTCTCCCTTCCCACTGAGAAACCCAGTTCTAAACCCGAACAACCTAGTGCTCCCATGGAACCCAGTTTCTCATTCCCCACTAGTGCTCCCAT